ATGGGTTTGTCAAAAACAAATCATGCCAGACAAATTGTATTACATTCTTTGACAAAGTGACAAAATTAGTGGACCAGAGAAATGCTGTGGATATAATTATATAATTATATAATTATAATTATATAATTATATAATAGTCCCTGACTATTCCCTTGTTACTGGGCAACTATCTCACTATGCTGTGGATATAATTTACTTAGATTTCAGTAAAGCATTTGATAAAGTAAGCAATAACCTACTACTTGATAAGATAGACAAATGTGGGTTAGACAGCATCACAATCAGATGGATTTGTAACTGACTGGCCAACTCAACATGTAGTCATCAATAGAACTGCATCTACATGGAGGGAGGTATGCAGTGGAGTACCCCAAGGCTCTGTTTTAGACCCAATATTCTTTAACATCTTCATCAATGATTTGGATAAGGGAATAAATGGGGAACTCATCAAATTTGCAGATGACACCAAGCTGGCAGGAATAGTCAAAATTCCAGAAGATAGGCTTATGATACAGAAGGATCTTGACAGGATTTAACATTGGAGGCTATCTAACAAAATGAAATGCAATGGTTAAAAAAGTAATGCTTTACATTTAGGCAAGAAAAACCAAGTGCACAGGTATAGCATAGATGGTACATGGCTCAATAACTGTGAGAGGGATCTTGGTGTCCGAGTGGACAGTCACTTAAATATAAGTCAGCAGTGTGCTGCAGCTGCCAAAAAAAGCCAACACAATTCTAGGCTGCATTAACAGAGGGATAGAATCAAGATCATGTGAAGTGTTAATACCACTTTATAATGCATTGGGAATATACTGCATCCAGCCTTGGTCGCCACAATATAAAAAAGATGTTGAGACTTTAGAAAGAGTGCAGAGAAGGGTAACAAAAATGATTAGGGGACTGGAGGCTAAAACATATAAAAATAGTTGCTGGAATTGGGTATGTCTGTCTTACTGAAAAGAAGGATTAGGGGTGACAGGTTAGCAATGTTCAAATATCTCAGGGGTTGCCACAAAAAAGAGGGAGTCGAGCTATTCTCCAAGCACCCGAGGGTAGGACAAGAAGCAATGAATGGAAACTAATCAAGAAGCAACCTAGAACTAAGGAGAAATCTCCTGACAGTTAGAACAATTAATCAGTGGAACAACTTGCCTCCAGAAGTTGTGAATGCTACAACACTAGAAGTTTTTAAGAAGTGATTGGACAACTGTTTGTCTGAAATGGTACAGGGTTTCTTGCCTAAGCAGGGGGCTGGACTAGAAGACCTCCAAGGTCCCTTCCAACTCTGTTATTCTATTCCATTCCATTTTCAAAGTCTCCACATTTCTCTAAGATCATATGGAGAGGAGACAAAAAAGGGGGGCAGAGTTTTTATATATTTAATGGCACCTGTGTAAGAGATTTTTTAGTAGGAACAGTTTCCTTTGCTTCTACATAACCATAATTCTTCTAGCCTATCTTTTCTTCCCTTTTGCATTTGGGCATCCTAAAGTGAAAACTATAAGTCACTGTCATCATTTCAAAAATCATTCCTAAAGTTCAAGTTGCATTCACCAACTCTTTCGGACACACTGCCATTTTTTTTTAAAAAAACTGAATAATCTGGCTGTGTATGCAGAAGCTCTTAGAAGGTTATTTGGATCTTGGCTTATTTTTGAATAACAGAAATTTACTATCATGGAGCTTATTTATATGAGGTGAATTATTATATTTTTTATAATCACAGTGGAAATTTGGGATAAAACGGGTTGGAAATGAGAAATGCATGAAAATTAAATTCATGCTTAAATGCAGAGAAATGCTTTTGGCCAAAAACTTAAGGAGGAGCTCAATGAATCAATGTATTATGCGCTGTGCATGGTGATTGTTTAATGTGATGTTTTGTTTGTCAAAAAATTCAATGCAATTTCTTTCCATTTTCCCATTTTTCCAATTAAAACCAGCATACCCCAATTCCCCTCCCCAAATTTGATACCCTCTCAATATGTCTGTAAATCAAGGATCATGTTTTATCCCTGGGGTGACTAAAAAGACAGACATTTGAGGAGCAAATTGAAATGCAACCCAAATTGTCCATAATGAAAGTCAACAAAATATATTGGTTCCATTCAATCTTCATTTATAAAATAATTGAGTAAACTATGGCAAAACAGTTTAATTTTTCAGTGTGCCACTTTTTGTATGAAACAACTGTTGTGGCAATTTCCTAGCTGCAAAGAGAATCTTCAGATATAGCGGGTTCCAGGTCCCTCACTCTATAGTTGCATCAGCTCCCTGATTCTTCAGGCCTAAGATTACTTTTAGCTTTTTTCTGAGTCTTCAAGGTTGTTGTAGCCAACCACATCTGAAGATCACTAAAATTGATCATGACTGTTCTGAAGTCATAATGAGCAACAGGATTTTGGTTTAAACTCATTTGAGCACATGGGAAGTTAAGACACATTAAGATAATAGAGCAATATCTACTTCTTTTCATATTATGCTGGTGGCATTGAATTCTTTACAGAAAATGTCTTCCTACATGACTACAAGTTTTGATGGAGATAGGTTGACATTGCTAACAACTGAAATGTGTATTCTTCTCATCTGTCACATTACTACTCATATTAACATTGATCACATACAAAAGAAATATATGTAAGAGAGTGGCTATGTTCGTGCAGTTTACTACTTATTCCTTAACAAAACTAATCTTATTTATTATGTTGTATTCCACTCCTTCTTTAGAAGTTCTAGGTGGACTATGCTGTGCAACCATACAATCTAAGGAAAGGATATGCATGCTTTTAGAACTTTTAAGTGCTAGGTTTGCATATTTCAGGAATCAAATCCAAACATTTCATTGTTCTAACTATCCTATGAGGTGAGTGGGCTGAGAGATTCTGATAACCCATATCGCCCAAAATGCTCCAATATCTATTGAGAATTTGGATCTCAACTCTTCTTGGTCCACCACATTCAACTTCTCATCGTTACTACTATATATTGGCTCCTGAATGAAAATTGTGGTTTAAAGGAAAAAATATGTCTAAGATCAGAAAAAGAATTGCAATAAGTTTCGAGTTTCTGATCAAATATTAATGGATATTATGAATGTTTGGTAATGTGGTCATTCAGATAAGTATGGATCTTCCTTCCATAAAATGTTTAAGAAAACCTTGACAACAGTTTTGAAGCATGATATCCTTTTCCAGAGGCTCAGGGAACTCACTGAGTAATCAACCACACAGTTCTAGTTTTCTATCTTATTTCTAATTTCCAAAGTAAATTTTTAGCTGAGACAATATTAGGAAATTGGAAGAGGCCAGTGGCAAACCATTTCCAAAACTCCCTACCTGGATGCAGCCAAAAAATCCCCAGATCAAGCTTGGCTCAAAGAACAGTTTGGGGTTATTTCAGAAATTTCTATTGCTAAACTTCAGCTCAGGTATATATCCCATCTAAAACATGCTTGTGGAAATAATTAATCAAGTTCTGTAAAAATGATCACTATATGATACATGCATGTTAATATTATCTTCCACATTGCACTATTTAGAATAGCAGAATTCACTTTGATTTTGCCATAAATTCATGAATACTGAGTGAATGGAGAGGCTACTGGGTTACTAACCTAACATTTTCCTTTACTTTTAACAACAGTATGATCTGCAACAGTCAGCAGGCAAATCTTGTCACAAATAGTTGCCTATAATTTCAATAAATCAAGTTTCTATTAAAAGCTCTGGGTTAAATATATGTGGACAAAAATCTGATACCTTCAAAGATATTATCATTACTGAGAAGATAATTTGATCACAAGGATTATCTCTACTAGAGAATCTTTGTAGGAAAATTCCTGTTTTATAGCTATGCAGCAAACAAGCTTCTTACTAATTTTATTGACTGCAGATGGGATTAAACCAAATCCTGAATGCAGGACAAACTTGAGACAGAGTCCAAATTTTAATTTCATTATCAAAAGCATCTAGAATCACTGAGACTACTATAACACCAATTTTATAAAGATTACCACTTTTCATAATACTTTCAGAATGAAGACTAATCAAACATTGAGGACATTTCTATTTATAACTTACTCACTTAGCCTTACAGGGCAATAATATAACTACTGTACTGTACATTTTCTAGTTTACAGAAGGCTGGACAATTAGGTTGCTAAACCTCTGAATTTTCTAAAGCTGAGAACCAACCCAAGCTTTTATTTGTTAGTTTAGAATTAGCTGTTGGGAAGCATGCAGTTAACCTTGGCAAGCCATGGCCCAGTTTACAGAATGTATCAGAATAATCTATTAAAAAAAGAAAGACCAAGGCATGTAAAATAGAACAAAATGCTTCCATCTGCATGAGAAGGTTATCTTTTCTAACCTGTTGCCTTTCAGATGGATTACACTATATTTCTCAGAAGTCTATGGAGATTCTCAGTCATTGAAGTCATAGTTGTCCCAAAGTTGCTTTTTCAAGAGGCAACTGCACTTTCTTGTTTTTCTTTGAAGATGTTTTGCTTCTCATCCAAGCGAAATGTCTTCAAAGAAAAAAAAAAGCCCAGTTGCCTCTTGAAAAAGCACCTTTTGGATATATTTCCCCGAATTTCCAAGTAGCATAAATCTACACTAATTTTTTCTGACTTTTGTAGCCTAGAGGACCAATTTGGGAAGGCTGATGTAATTGATTACAGTTTAAATATTCCAGTACATTAATATCCTCCTGAAAAATAGTGTGCCAGGAAAAGTCTGGTCTGGCCTATAGGGTTTCTCTCTGCTTATTTTCATTTTAGGACTCATTTGAAGGAAAGGAAGAATTCAAACACCTCATTCCACATCATTCTGCTGCATTTAAAGGCCCAGTCTAACCAGATTCTGCCATAGTTACTTAATTCAAGCTATGTTTCAATGAGCTTTTGACCGTTCTGCAAAACGCCATACCATTTGTCATTAGGCTACTTGTATACATACAGTACTTATATTTTTTCTTTGAGATCATAATTTAAAACTTACCTTAGTAATGTCTGAGAAAAGTACTTCAGAGTATTGGCAATGTCAGTTCCAGAGGGGACAGGATAAATGTTGTGAAGGACACGATTATGGTATTCTTGCAAGTATCGGATCTTGGAAGCAACTGGAGTTTGTATTGCATGAAAGAAGAAAATGGGGAAAAATGCTTAGCTCAGTTCTCCCTCTCAGAAAATAATATACTTTAATTATATTCTGCCCATAACCCTTTGCTTACTAATTTAAGTTTCTAGCTGAGCACATCCAGCAAGTATAGCTGTAAAGCTAGTGAAGGACAGCTTGCCTAGTTACAAGTTGCATAGTAACTCAAACCCTTTTCCACTAGGATTATTACTACAGGAGTACACAAAATTTCAATTTACACAACACACTTAGCTATATTATTGCTTAGCATGTTGTACAGACCCAATCAATAATAAGCATACTGTTTAATTCTGCATCTTACAACCTTCTTCTAGTAGCTTCAGTTTTTAAGATATTCTATTTAATATGTTTAGCAGCTTCAGTTCTGGTTACTATGGCACTTATCCTTTTAAAACACTTAGTGATTGCATGATTGTGGACAGTGAATCATGGAAAAATATGTCCTCAACACCCCCCCACACCTCTGTGGTCTCTTGATTACTTTCTTCCTCTCCCATTTATTGGACTGTTCCTAATCATTGGAAATATAGAGAACAAATTAAAGGAATCATTATTCGCACTTGTGTACTAGTGATATAACATTCTCTGGTTCTTGGGTCTTGTCCATTGAAATTGTAATCTTCTAATCAGCATGCAACCAAGCAGCATTATTGTGAAGCACACCCATAAGATTCAAGTCTGAATTGCTTTATTCAGTCTAATATAATATGAAAGGTACAGAAAATATTCAAGCTGAAGTAAGAAAAAACCTGTAGATCAACTAAGAGGAGATAAAATGCACGTGAAAGTGAGATGAGGCATAAGGGAACCAAAGAGGGTAGATCTCCTCTTCTACACTCCCATGTTTAGGTATCATCACATTTAGGCATCACCATGCATTACTGACTGACTGACTGACTGACTGACTGACTGACTGACTGACTGACTGACTAACTAAACAAAGAGAACTGATTGAAAAACCACAGAGCCAATGACAAACTTACCAAAATTTCCATGATTTTGTTCAGACATGACAAATATGATAGATTTGCTCTGCAGTGCATTCAAATATATGATAAACGTTGGATGGCCTTAATCCAGCACAAGAATTCTCTACTATTGTCACACCATACTGTAGCCATAACATGGTTTTGTTTAATTCTGAATGTAAACTCAGCCATGTGGTATGCATTCCACCTTCTATAGCAGGAAAATATTCTTCAATATTCTAAGGTTAATGCACATATTTCTGTGTGTTCTTAAATATTTAAAAGACCTGAATATTTAACCATGTTCATTCTGATGATATCATCACATCACCAGTCACAGGCCCTGAATCCCCTGGAGGAAATTGAAACCTTCTTTTAAAAATTAGACATGCATGCCTGGAGGAAAAGAAATAGATGCTTACTGCAGATGTATAGGTTAGGAGCGTGTTCATCTACTCAGGGAAAAAAAATATGAATGGTAAACTGAAAAAGTAAAATCTACCGGGAGGCAAAAATCAAGTTGGGGAAGCAACCCTGCCAATATCTCTTTAGTAAATCAGTTAGCTTTTTCTATCATGACAGCTTTTTGTAAAAGAACCCACAATATGCTTTACGAATTCCAAATGTGCCAACCATCCAAAAAATATTGGTTCATGGGCTAATACTCTAATACACTGATCACAGAGAGGAATTAAGGTCATAGACGTCTTCTGGCTTTTCTTGTTCCCCAGCAGGAGCCAAGAGCCTCAAGATGTTTATTATTTATTTATATCCCACCTGTATTATTTGTACAAAACTCAAGGTGACAAACAATCCTATCACATCTTCCTATTTTCTCCACTATAACAATGGCCGCAAGGTGGGTTGGGCAGAGAGAGAGAGAGTGACTGGCCCAAGGTTATTCAACAGGCTTTCATGACTAAGGCAGGACTTGAACTCACGATCTCTTGCTTCCTAGCTTGGTGCCTTCAAGTGTAGTTTAGTGTAATAGATTTGAAGAACTCTTGATTATCCTGTAACAAATCGTTAACACCATGATGCATTGATTGCTTATCTATTATGTTTTTCTCCAAATAATCCTGGGAATTATAGTTTATTTCACTGATAGAACTATAGTTCCCAGACACACTACAACTGTGTATCTGTTAATGATCCACACATGATTTGAACTTAAAAAGGAGATGCTTTCTCTTAACACTTAATGAATTAAATTCTACATGTACTAATATCCTCTCTAAAAATACTGCAGAGGTAAAAAGCATCTAAACGTCTCACATTCTTAACAAAGTATTAGCTCATATTTATTTTGATGTTATGTTTAACTGAAAGTTTCTGAGAGAACTGTTTTTAATTAAAATGAAAAAAATGGATCCAAGGATCTAATCTCCATTATTCTTTATTTCCAAGAATGCCCACACAGACCTTGTAGGCAAAATCAGATATAAATTTGGAGCATGGCTACAGTTCAGTATTTTCACTAGATGTGTGCTCATTGCCAAGAAAAATGTTAAGCAGTGGAAGAGCTAGAGGGGGTATGAGGGAGCAACTATATCTGTATTTATGATTATGCAAAATAAAATGCCATAATGCCAAAGTGTCATAAGGGGTTTCTTTCTTTGTAAAAATAAAAAAAAACAGGGGGGAAAACCCTTATGGCAGCCATTTTAAGGAAGCATCCACAACATATTTTCAGAATTCCAGTGCAGAAAACTATTTATCCCTCCTATGGAAAGAAAGAACAATTTCCTGGTATTTGGTAAACCATCTATAAAAATAATTCTGTGATTAATGGTCTGGTACAACGGCTCCCAGATGGTTTCTAAGAAAACTTCAGAAAGATACCTGTTGAGAAATATCCTCCATTTGATTTGAATATAGCAGCTGTGTACTCCTTCTCAGATTTATGTTGCTATAGCTCTGTGATCAGCGTGGCCAACTACTAGCAGCAGCTGCAATGTTTTGCTTAAGAGGGGAGAAAATCATGTGCACCATATCAAATTCTAATTTGAAAGAGAGCTTGTTTACCATATCAGTAAGATGTTTAAGAAGTTCACCCACAATGAATTAATTTTTCCTGAGAGGCTTTGCAGAACATTTCAACATGAACTTCTGATTTACACTGGAGAATAGTGCAGCTAGCCACAGGTTCCATACAATTTGATATTTCTGTGATCCTATTACACTATTTCATTCAATAGTAGGCAATCAAACCACAGAAATAGTTAGCCATAAATCATGGTAACTTGAGAAGATGCCTTATAAACATTTGTCTTGTACATATGGATGTGACCAGTCTCTTACTTTCTTTTCTAATCATATATTAATTCATCTGAATATGTTAACATTAACTCACTGGTAACTCATAAAGCCACATTGAAAGACAGTGTTATTTGGTAAAACAGCAAGTAAGGCTGGAGTAGATGTGAGAGGAAGTAACAACAGAGCTGTGACTGAAAGCTCCTGAATTTTATGTTGACAAGATTGAGTAAACTAGTACAGCATGAAGACATATTCATACACAGTGGCACCTGGGTACTCAATTGCTGGGAAACTCATCGGATTTGGTACTCTTTAAGCATTTTAATGCAAACATTTTGTCTCAATATTACTTGTTTATTTGGTACTCAATGCACACAGTTAAAAACTTGTCAGTGTTGACTGCCTTGTGACTCACTATATTATTCCTTATGGAGAAAAATTGTTTGGTACTCATCATTTTTGGTACTCATCACAATTAACCATAAGTACCGAGGTAGGACTGCACTGACAATTGACGTAAACAAATTAAGCTAGGCCCTTTTCTGAAGATAATGACTAAATCCTAACATCACGTCTAAGGCCTGCTTTGGGCTGGGTTTCTCTCGCCATTTTACACAGTCACGGTTTTCTCTTCCTAAAACGCTGGTCTTTCAAAATACCATGACAAAAAATAAGCAACCACACGCGTCCTCAAATGGGGGTCGCAGAATAATGTCGGAGAGACAAAGTTGCCCCGGACCAAGCGCTCGAAAACTGCAGTGGCCGGGAACCCTCGGCTTTCGCTCCGCCCCTCTCCTATCCCGCTGCTTGCGAGCAGGGCCGGTCGTGACACCTAGCCGTCTCCAGCACCACGGACAGCGCCCGCACCTTTCCGAGGTTTCCTGGCCTCCCTCCTTGCACTTCTCCCGCCCTCCGAAAAGCTTCGGGCAGCGGCCGCGGGGCGTCCTGCGTCTTTTATTCCCCGCGGAGAAGACGGGCCCCCGTCTCGCCACTGTTGCTTTACTTACATTGCTCTGCTTTGGTCGACATGGCGGTGCTCTTCTGCGGGAAAAGGTTGCTGGGTTCCAGCACGGGCAGCGGCGGTCTGGCCGGCTAACGAGGAACGACGACCATCTGCTGGAGGCGAAGAGAAGGGAGCCCGCTCTGACCCGAGCTGCGTCCCTCCCCCTCCTCTAGCTCTGCCATTGCTGCAAACTGCACAGCGGCCCCCGTTTTCTCGCCGCTCCCGCCCGCCCAAGGAGGAGGAGGAGAAGCGGCGCGAAGGGAGCGTTGCTTCGAGATGATCTCAAGCGGAAC